GTGGGGCATCCACCACCTCTCTGGGCAACCTGGGCCAGGGTTTCACCACTCTCAGTGTCAAAAATTTCTTCCTTAGATCTAGTCTAAACCTGCCCTCTTTTAGTTTAAAGCCGTTACCCCTTGTCCCATCGCTACAGGCCCTGCTAAAAAGTCAGGCGAAGGCTGGGGGCAAACCCGGGCCAGGGAACGGGAGGTCCTGGCGTGCTGGACGGGCGCCCAAGCAACTGCTAAGTGAGTGCAGGTGCTGTCTCTTGGACAGGCAACCGCTCGTGTGGGGCTGTAAAAGGATCAGTACGAGCGGCTCCCACCCCGGGGACGGCCGTGCCTTCCCCTTCGCTCTCAGTTATGCTCTCAAAATACGGGGGTTGCTGCCACGCGCTCGGGATGTGGATGGAAACCAGGTCTGTGCGCGGCCAAGGGACGGAGGAGCGAAAGAGCAAAGCGGCTGCAGCTCCAGCCGACCCGCAGCAAAGAGCAACTGGGGATAATGGGAGCAGCCGGCGGGCACCGACCTGGCACCACTCACCAGAGCCGTGCAATGATCCAGGTTAAATTTATCCAGGAAAAACTCCATGGATGCCGGGCAGACAGTGATGGTTTGGGCACTGGAGGTGCCCCCCATGGCGCGGGGTGAAGAGAGAGGGGCAAAACCCACCTTCTCGCCCCAGGGCTGTGCGCACGGCTGCAGCTGCATGCTGGCGGGGGGGGGGGTGCCCGGCCCCCGGTCGCCCCAGGGCGGTGCGCACGGCTGCAGCTGCATGCGGGCGGCGAGGGGCCTGCCAGTCCCCGGGCAGAGCATGACCCCTCACTCGTCAGCCTAATTGACTTGCCCTTGCGTGCACTAACTGAAGCAGAGCTGAGGCCCAATTTACGCTCGTTTACCAGAACCGGCAGGCGTTTGAAATGAAGCTGCCCTGTGGGGTTCCCCGGGGTGGCCTCGCTCCTGGGGAAAACCAGCAGAAACCCTGCTCTGCCCGTCCCAGACAAGGTTTCCTGCAGGTATCTATAGGTTATACTGAGCCCATATAGGTTATACTGAGCCCGGACACAGGCAGGAGACCTCCCGGCTGCAAATGCACCATCTCCAGAGGGTGGTGGATGGTGCCGGCTGCTCCACGGCCAGGAGAAACCCTTTGGTGAGCAGCGACGGAGGAACCTGCCTGGGGCGAGGTCCCTGCCGTCCCTCCCTGGGTAACCTCTATCCAGAGCGTGGTGCATTATATTTCTTCTGAAACACGTGTTTGAGGTAACGGCCGAGCTGCGTCACCCCCGCGCTGCGCTGCCCTGGACCCCTGCCTGAGCTTTGCCGTGGGCAGGGAGATTTGGAGATGAAGAGTGATGTGGAAGAGGGGGTTTCTTTGAAGAGAAGTTTCATGGAGACGCAAGGTGGGGATGGTGAAGCAGTCTCATCTCAAGGAGCTTCCCACCAAGAGATGCGGCTGCTGCCTGGTCCCTTTCCCGGGAAGCATGGACGGCATTGCCTGGTACGGTTGCTTTGGGGTGGATGGGGTGTGCTCTGCTCCTGCTGTTGCCATTGTCCTTGCACTGAAGCTGGTCCTAGCAAACAGGGTTTGGCGGCGAGCATACCCACCATGGAAGGAGGACCTGGAAGTCTCCAAAGATACCATTTGCATGATGTGACTGGCCCATCCTCCCATAACTTTCTTTATCTCTTGCACCCTTCACACCGCCTGGCCCTGGTTGCCTCCAAACAGCATCTCCCTCTTCTCCGGTGTCAGCTTCTCCCCCGCCGTCAGGCGTTACACCTCTGCCAGCTCTCTGTTGTTGCGAGTCAGGCTTTCTGCTGCCTTTTAGTTATCCCTTCGCTGCAGCCCTGTTTTGGGATGCCGTCATAAAAGGCACCCCATAAATTTTATATTGAACAGTAAAACATTTTCGCCTTGGCTGCTGTTCCCCCTCACTCGCTGCAGCAGCACAAACCGAAGGGGTGAGCTCCAGTTAGGCAGGAGCCAAGCACCATATCTCAGCTGCCGGCTCCTGGCAGAGAAACCGGGGACAACATTGATTTTTTCTGGTTTGGTTGGAGGAATAAGCCTGGAGGCACCTTGCCTTGCACTGGTGCTGGAGCAGCACCCGTCTTCTGCTGTCTGAGGGACACAGCCACAGGTGGCACGGGACAGCTTGTCTCCACCCAAGGAGACCCAAAAGCCTCCTGTCTGCTCTCTGCGGTGAGGCAAGAAGGGTTTTTACCCGTTTGAAGTGATCCCTGAGCCAACAGGGGTACGAGGGGTGGGCTCAGCTCTCCCTTCAGAAGGCAGAGCTACAACCATGGGTTTCGTAGGTGTGTTCTTCACTCTTCCCCATCCATCCATCCATCCATCCATCCATCCACCCATTCATCCATCCATCCATCCACCCATCCATCCATCCATCCATCCATCTCTCCCCATCCATCCATCC